CACAATTTAAGAAGAGTTTATAAGCCAGCACCAAAGTGTGGCTTCTGCTCTTGTGGCTTTTGTATGGATTGGGAAGGAAAATCACAAAAGGGCCGAATTCAGCTAACTACAGTCTTAGATACTGTTATGCCTGTATCTATATCCCTGGTGCCACTGTGTCAAGAAAAGACTTTTTAAAGTTTTTGTTGCTTTTGCAATTTGAAAAAAAAAAGCTCTTTATACTGGTAGAGACTACTGTGCTAGTCACTCCGGTCATATAAGCATTTGAAGCCATCTGAGAAGTGTCAGTTTTTCTGCTGAATTTAAAGAAATGTGTACATTGGGAGCGGGAACCATCTGTCACCAGTACATGGGATTACTTGAAAAAACTGATTTCATTGTTCTGGGGTAAGGAGAAGCATTAAGGTAGAAAGGTTGACATGACCTTAATCACTAAAGCATCAGGCTCTGATTGTCAATAGCAAAGGAAAATAAACTCTTCTCACCCAGTTCATTGCATTTAATATCCACTGGAAATCTTTCACAAATCATTTTGCATTTGACTCTTCAAGTAACCAAATAGAGAAAGACAAGGCTTTCTGCTTCCGTTTATCTCCTAGAATTATGATAAATGGGCTCTCTCAAGAAACAGAGCATCATGGTTTGCTTCCTTAAGTGCTTCGCAGGCTCTTATTTATTTGTATGTTTTTTAACCTAGTATTTCCATCCATTATTTTTGTTCTTACATACATACTGTATATATACAACAGTAATAGCATTAGGGATATACAAACCTGTCAGTCTCATCCCTGTTGCATTTCTTAGAATTTTACAACCATGTTTCTTCTATCCCAGTCCCATCATGTGCAACTTCTTGTCACATGGAAATTCATGTGCGTTTTTGTACACATTCTGCCATTGACTAAAGCATATTTGTGACACCTTTTTCAGATTTCCATCATTTTAATCATGTAGCTTTTTCATATAGACAAATGACTGCTTTTCAGAGTTGTCAATGTGAAATAGAAGTTCAGGTAATGTACAGCAGGACCCCCATAACTGGGGGTGCAGGGTTGTTCCAAGCTCCCATGCAGATGCTGAAAACTGTGGATAATAGTGAATAGTATGTCTAGCATGGTAAAAGAAAAAGGAGAATCTAGAAATGGTTGTTGTGGGTTTTTCGGGCTCTTTGGCCGTGTTCTGAAGGTTGTTCTTCCTAACATTTCGCCAGTCTCTGTGGCCGGCATCTTCAGAGGACAACACTCTGTCCTCTGAAGGCGCCGGCCACTGAGACTGGCGAAACGTCAGGAAGAACAACCTTCAGAACACGGCCAAAGAGCCCGAAAAACCCACAACAACCATTAGGTCCCTGTCGTGAAAGCCTTCACGAATACAATCTAGAAATACATATTTTCACCATGTATTATCAGAACAGGCCAATAGAGGGAGCCATGCCATCAATCAATTTTGATAAGATTTCAACCCTTACCAGAGTTTTCTAGATACAGAGTATTCAGAAGTACCGTAGTTTAACAATCCCTTCTTCATGCCTACTCTCACTAGCCTGCTTTAAAAAACAATCTAAAAAGCAGCACAGTGGATAAAGAATTGATCTGCTTCTTCATTCAGCCCTTAGATTATCTTAGTACAGAATATCAATAAAGGCTGTGAAAAAAATCCTCTTGTTTTAAGGCATGACTGAGAACTATATTGTGCACCCTTAAGATTTTCAGCCAACTTAATTTATAGAATTATTTATTGCTAGATGGGACATGACTCAGAAGAGTTTTTTTAAAAAAAGAAAAACATGGGCCCGTAGGACAAGTCCATAAACAAATACTAGCTATAGAAGGGGGGAAAGATCTGCAGTAGATTGATGAAGCCTTCTAACTCTTATCTGTTCAACAACATCAACAACAGATTATTACTTATTTTCTCTCTTTCTCCCACCCCCACCAAGCAGACGCCCTGATCTTACAGTAATTTTGGACTTGGATGTGCAAGTCATCCCAGTCTTGTGGTGCAATGGGAATACCACCCACACACACACCCACTCAGCCCTAACATCACAAGCAGTATTTTTATCCTGATTCAAATTGGTGAACCTCAAGGTTTTAGTAAAAAGCAGATTCCACAGTTGAACTGCAGCAGCTAAATAAGAACCACATGTGCTTCTGAATTTCAGATGCTGAGGATAAACAACAAAGGAAGGCCTTTATTAGATCGGATGAACTTTTAGTCTTATCAAGAGGGCAAACCTTGTCTTAGCTGCTGCATGAATGAATTCAGTTTAAAGAAGTGTAGGAGAAAAAAATTCCTTTAAATTTCCTTTTCCTTGTCAAGTTGGGCCATGTAGGGAACCTTGTTCTCTGAGTAATGCTGTTCTCAACACTGTCAGTGAAAAATCAGTCAGAAATATAGTTGCTTTCACTCATTCTTCCTTCTAATTTATCAGAAAGATTCATGTAAGTGCACAAACTGTTTCAATGTATTTTCATTTTCCTGAACAATCAAGAAAGGTATTTCAAATAGGCTTAGGGGAAAAAATCACTTGATATCTTTTTTTCTGTGAATGTAATTTAGAAAGTCAATAACCTTGTGATGATTAAGATTTAATTTGGCTTTTGTGTGGGCGAGCGTCTTTTAAAATTGTCTCAGATGTAAGGAGTCTCCTGATCTTAAAGATACCAACTCTCAGACTGAGATCCAATGATATTCAAGCCTCTTTGATATCCATGAGGTATCAATCATTTGCCTCTCTTTAGAGCACCAGTTTATGATGTGACAAATATGAGATTGTTCATAACATGATCCATAAAAACAAGACATTTTCACTCAAGAAATCTCTTCTGGTTCATGGGTATCTCATCCATCCACTATTCTGACAGCAATATGCTTTGTATTTTCCTTTATCTAAGGAAAAGGGAGTTCAGGGCACATCCTTTAGAGGAGAAAACACTGGAGAATTGTGAGATCTCTCTAATGTTTTACTTAGTTTTACACATACACAGCCCTTGACAACCCTATGATGCAGTGGTTAAACTGCAGTATGGCATTCAAGTCTCTGCTCACAACCTGAGTTTTATCCCGATGAGTTCAGATAGGTGACTCAAAGCTGACTCAGAATTCCATCTTTCTGAGGTCAGTAAAATGAATACCCAGCTCACTGGGGTGGGGGGGGGGAAGTGTTGCTCTGGATAATTATGTTGTAAAACACAGAGAGAATGCTTTAGCACTGGGGGGGTTATTACAAAGAACTACAGTCTCTCCTGAAAAGACTCATTTTGGGACAAAGCAGAGATTTACTCAGAAATCTGAACATTTGCAAGCCTTGTGGTTTGTTTTATAAGCATGAATCATATGTGCATGGTTAATTTTAAAGTAATCAAATGGATCTATTGCATTATGTTTAAACAGTGATGGGCTAAAAAAAGTATACCTTTGAAAAACAGGCACGAACATCCTGCAGTCAATGAGAAATGTACATTTTAAGAAAAACAAGCACATAAATGCATACTTTTGAGGAAATGCTTATCAGTGTCCAAACAAACAAATGGACATGAGCAAAGGGTGGGAAGAGAAAGCAGATTGGATTCAGACAAATACTGGAAAAACAAGGCTGACATTTAAAAAACAACATTACTACATAAGAAGCCAGTGTCATGTCGCAAATTGACTAGGACTCAGGAGACATGGGTTCAAGTCCACCTCAGCCATGGAAACTCACAGGACGGGACTTGCACTGGTAAAAATCATTTCTTGAGTATCTTACATATGTTGTAAACCTTTCCAGGAAATTGACTTGATATCATGTAACAGGCATAAGACCCCAGAGTTCAGAAGGAAAATGCACTGTGGATTTGCACTTAAAAAGCTTGAGTGAGACTGAACCAGGGCAAGACATCATTATCTTTAAGGGGAAACAGAAGCAAAAATTTGGAGAGGGTGTTTTTCCCCAGTTACAGTGCTGTCCTAAGTGATATTTTGTCTTCTGTGCAGCTTTTAAAGGTAGAAAATCCATCAGAAACTCTTGGGTTGAACAAGCTCACAAGCACATTTGCAGGGCCAGTTAAAGGTAGCATTCACTGAAGCATCTAGTATACAGTATTTATGCTGCTGAAACTGTGCTACAGATCTCTGAAATGAGATCCAGCTGCATGAGCCTAAAGCCAGTCCTTCCACCCTGGCACCCTCCAATTATTTTCTTTTTATTTCAAGTGCCACCATCAGCTCCACCCATCCTGGTCAGTGGTCAGGATTGCTAGAAGTTATGCATCTAAGCATCTGGCACCAGGATGAGGAAGTTTGGACTGAAGCATTAGGTTTTATATTAAGACCAAAACAAATATTGGAACAAAATTGTGGTCATCAGTGGAAGCTGTGAATGCCTCCAAGGCCATTTACTCACTCATAATTTGGGGATCCAGAGGGTAGAGAAAAACCCCAGAGTTTTTTCTGGGAATGTCAGTAATGACATGGTCTATTCTTGTGCACTGAATGAGAAATCACAAAAAAATGTCCTGTTGTTTTGATATTTTTCTTTTGTTGGTTTTGGAGACAGCTTCCAAGTCTGACTTTTTTTCATTTCTAGAAATACGCAAAATGTAAAACTACAATAATTACCACTTTGTTGCATGGGCTATTAAAAGCAGAAGTGATGGGTGGGCTATTGAGTTGGCCTATACTTTTGTGCTTGCGCTTTATGTATGTTTAGTTACATGAGTGGAACAGACATTAGAGACATTATGTACAGATTGTGCAAACTATGACAAGAGGAAGCACTTGTCTCACTCTTGCGCTGTAGGTGAGATCTCTCATGGGGGATTTGGAATCCTTGATTGCCTGTCTCATCTTGTCAAGACAATTTATCCTAACTATAAAGAGGTCATTGGTGATATTTCTTCACATTTCAGCCTTTCCTCTTGACTCTTTCACTTTTCCTCTGCTACTTCTTACTAAGACAATGCCTTCTCTGCCTTGTTTTCCTCGTTAAGTTGAAAACTTTTTTGTGTTTGTTCTAGGTGCCAAGCCTGCTCCTGGGATATGTTTTGAGAGAGTCAATTCTGCCGGGGATCCTTATGGGAACTGTGGCAAGGATTCTAAAAGTTCCTTTGCCAAGTGTGAACCGAGGTATCTCCTCTTTTTCCAACAGAAAAGCAGCTGAAGTTTTGCCAACAGTAGATGCAAATGTCATTAACATGGCCTACCTTCATTTCTCCTCCTTCAGGGATGCTAAGTGTGGAAAAATTCAGTGTCAAGGGGGAGCCAATCGACCTGTAATTGGTACCAATGCTGTCTCCATAGAAACAAACATCCCATTACAAGAAGGAGGCAAAATTTTGTGCCGTGGAACCCATGTTTACTTGGGGGATGACATGCCTGATCCTGGCCTTGTTCTGGCTGGAACAAAGTGTGAAGATGGAAAAGTAAGGTTTAGAAATCCTCTTCCATAGTCTAATCTATGTTCCTTTACAGACGTACATGCCTTGCCTTTTACATGAGTTTGCATGAGGTTCAACCTTATACTTTCTTCCATCCCACTTTCTGTATTTTGAATTAACAAACCAAATGAAGAGGCATATGCAAATAATTGTTCTATACCTATGAGTATAGTGAGAAAGAATGGAATTGATCTGTCATTTAGCCAGACAGCCTCACAATCAATGGGTACATAAAAATGCTGAAACAAGAGTTATTATACATGCAGAAGGCAAATGGAGTAACTTGCAGTGGCTTCTCATTGGCAGCTAACGAGGTTCTGCTTGGATTTTCAGGCATGTGACAATCTAGGGAGCTGATATGTGCACTTGTGTTTAGCTTGCAGGGCCCAACCACAAAACAAAGGGTGCAGTAAATTGCAATGGTAGGAAAATCACATGCTATGACAGATGGGTTTTATAACTTTAGGAAGCACTTGAAAAAACAACAGTGAATATCCTCTATTTTGCTATTATGCGTTGCTCTTACTCTGAAAGAAATAGACCATTTTTCAACTTCACTCTGTCCAGTTCTTTAATAAATACACTGAAAAATGCATTTTATAAACTTAAACAGAAATTGGCCTTGATTCAGTTTTGCAGCCTACTGCCAGGCTTTGCTTTGCTTTATCTATTTGCTATACAGTGTGTTGCTGGCAGAAATGTGTCAACCTGGTAATTAAACACTTGAAAATAAAAGTAACTTGTCCTTCTTCATAAGTATTTTAACACACCCATAACATAAGAGGTGCTAAAAACATAGGCTCAAATCCTGTAGTATGTCACAGCTAGAGTAGGCCCATTGACTCAGTGAAACAGAGAGAGGAGTTGACTCACCAAATCCCTACTGATTCAGTGGACCTGCTCTAACTGCAATTCTGGTTCTGACCATTTCAGCCATAGTGATGCTGGTGCCATCTCTGAGGAAGAGGAAGAAAGGGTGTCTTACTGTGTGTTTCTTCTAAAGTCTCAGTCCTAGAACTTAAGAAGCAATAACATGATATTCTTAATGTGTGCCTTCCATACATACAGTTTTGTAACCCATGAATTTGACTAGCCTTCTGTTCACTATGGAATAACCAGCTCTCATGCATCTCAGTTTAGATGAACTGAATCCTTCAGATTAATCTAATTACCAGCTATTGATTTTATTTAACAGCTAGGGGAAGAAATTTGCTTCTTCATGAAAACAGATACGTATATTCATTTTCTTGGTTTTTATGACAGTTCTTCTCAGAGAACAGCGATAACTAGCTGCAAGTAACAGTTATTTGCAACTAGTTGTAGCTTAAGAAAATAACTAGTTAATCATTATGACTTAACTTTTGAGTTTAGCAAGTAACAGCTAAGTAACTTACGTGTAAGAAGTAATACTTGGTTATTTTTAAAAGTTACATTTTAAATAAATTGTGAGCTTCCATTTTGTCAATAATTTTTCTGGTTTTATACTATTCTCTTATCGGTCAAGGTATTTTGTCTCTTTTGCATTTTTATAAATATTTCCAATGCCTGGATGAGCCCTAAAAGCTACCAGGGAGTACTTTCACTTATTTTTCTACCCTGTTTGGCAATGCAAAATGTTAATAATGTGGAACGCAACAAACTATTTCTGTGATAGGAACAACAATAACAATAATGACAATCTGGCTGCAGAGAATTAACGAAGAATCCAATAGCTTCCTTTTAAAATGAAGCAGTGGAATCTCTCTTCCTCATAGAATGTCAGACCTGAGAATAATAACCAGGATATTTGCTGGCTTTTAACTGATAATTCTGTCTACTTTTTCATTCGCTATGTGTTTTGGCATGTTTCAAAGCTGCAGAAGTTGTCAAGGCAAAAAAAAAACCTTTGCCTTCTAAGGGAATATTATTTAATATATCCCTGCTCAGATTTTACCAGCGTTTCTGCATAGGGTAGTAATCAAAAAATGAAAATTATGAAAAATGGGTGGGGAGGATGTACTCCTGAGAATTTGAGAGAGAAACAGTGTTAAAGGGGAAGGATGTTTATGCTGTTGGCAGATTAAAGATCTAACAATCAAAACGAGAGTTTTGGTTATGCCAGCATCTCTGAACTTATGATTGCCTTTGAGGTTTTGGGAGCTCCCACATCAGTTAAGCACGTTGGCACCAAGTTTTAAACATATTTTGATTTTGGGTTCTGTTTCATGTGCTCCTTTCTCTAAATGAATGATAACTGCAAAGGAGCAAGGCTCTGCTGCTTTTGACATGAAAGACAAAGAACACATTTTTTTAAAGCTATAATTAACAATCTATATATATTTAAAACCTTTGTCTCAAATTCCTAGGCACCTCAAAAGTGTGTTGCATCAACACATGCTAACCCTGCTCCACTTTGTCCCTGCTTCTGCCACTTCCCTGTGTGTAGGGGGTAGTAGCATGGTGCGGAAAGCCTGCACTGCCAATAGAGGCTCCCCAGTTTTCTACATTCCAACTCATATGGAAATATTCCAGGAACAGCAGAGGTGCTTTTGTTCAGATGAAAGAGAGCATCACCTGTAAGAGAGCATCACACATGGCATCAGAAAAGGCTCAACACATTGGTGCTCCCAGTGGGTTTTGTTTTTTTTGAAAGAGTGAACATATGCCCCTTCCCACATTGATTGGTGCAATGTATTAAAAAAAATTACACATCCTGAATAGGGCTGAAGAGATTTCTAGACTGATGTCAGGGACATCAGAGACACAAGATCATAACGTTTTTATTGAGCAAGATAGACCTGTGAACTGATGACATTAAAGACAACTCCTTACAGTATATCTATTAAAATACTCTGTTTTGGATTTTAATGGATGATGTGTGATCCCAAAGCATGTTAAGCCATCTGCACAGTCTGGGTTAGTTCTACTGAAAAGGATTGAATTGAACCATATAATTCTAAGGCTTCAGTGCCTTTAATATTATGCTTGATTTTTAAAGCAGGTTATTTAATATGGACAGAAGCCTGTGTGCCGTATATTCTGAGTGCGTTGCTTGTGAGCTCTGGTCTTATGAGGCCACATACCCTTGAATCCATGTGTGTTGATGTTGATTTGCTCTCATTTCCATTCTTGCCCATCGAGGGAATATCTGCCTTGATTAAGCATCCTTTTTGTCTTCTGCTTAACATTTTCCCCTGCCTTCTCCTTATGATTGTGTCTGACTTTTAGCTGTGCTGAAATAAGCACCATATTTAAAAGAGAGCAGATGTTATGTGCTAGGCTATTGATTGTTGACCTGGCAAATAATATTCATTCCAGCAGCATACAATCTTTTCTCAACTTGGATGATTTATCAGCCACACACTAAATGGGTCATTTCAGTTTGAACCGTGCTCTGCTTTATTGTGGTGTCAGTCTTGCTTCATCCCTGTCTTTTTAGAGAGAAGTTAAATCTCTGTAACAGTAACTGCCTGGACAAATTGATACATTATATGCCACTCCCTCTTTATTCATTTGCTTATTAATCAGAGATAAATGTATTTTCTTTAGGCCAACCTTAAGTTGCCTATTCAGAGTATTTTTCCCAAAATCCTTTAACAAGACAGAGCAAATCCTCACTAATGGAGTTCCTTTGGATTACAGTAATTGCACAAATTGTTGTGTAAAACTGGACTGGATATTACTTCCAGATTAAATTTGAAACAGAGGAACCCACTGATGTCAGAGGACCTTGTGTGCATATGATCTCCAAAAGGAGATGAACTGTGAAACAGTGAGTGTTGTAGTTCAGAAACACAAATATGCGCACCTCTAACAGAACTCAAGCTTTACCAACATTTGAAAGTTTCTCATACTTTGGCTATGGCCAGGATCCAAAGAGCTGTTTTGGGGGAATGCAGGGGTTTACACTTGGGATTTTTAAAACTTCCCTTCTCTGTTTAAATAGGATGTTATCACACCAAATTTGCTTTTGAAACTACTCACAATTTCAAGAAGTGATTGCCATTTGCGGTCATGGGCTATTTTTGAGAAGAATGTGGAAGGTATCTTGGATAGGTACAAGCAGTTGGCCTGATACCTTATAGGTCCAAGTGTTCTAGATATACTAATCTGAATTATCAAAAAGCTGCTAACTTGTTGAAGTTCAAATCTGAACAGTTAATTTTAATGCAGACAGAGGAAAAAGAAAACAGCTAGCATTCTGAACTGGTCCTAAAGAAATGAAGTCCATTGTTTAAAAGAAGAAGGAGGAGGTGTTTCTCGTCTCTATTCGTTTGGTGAGATGAGCTTTCAGATGGCATTTGGTGTTTTCTCAGGAACTGTGAAGATTAAGATGCAGATGCCACATTTGCTTTTGTAGTGGATGAATGCACATTCTACTCGCCTTCTACCACATGAATGTTAATGTTTGAAAAAACACTAGGAAGTTTTCCAGGATCATTTTACTCCTCTGCTGCCTCCCTTGAGAGAACAGTGAGGTACCCTGGAGGAGAAGTCGTATGACCACTCCTCCAAAACGGAAGTGCCATCCCAGTTTGTGATGTTACATAGTTTTATAGTTCCTATTTTCCAAAGTTCCAAGAAGCAATGCTATATTCCATTGGATGAGGAACATAGAGATTTACAGTGTCCTTCTAATATTTGATGTATTTACACATAAAAGCAGGGCATAAGTGGAGGTAAACAGGCTCTCCTATAGCAAACAAGGTTCCAAAGACAAGAGATAACCAGTAACCAGTCTGAGACTCCATATCTGCAGGTGAATTTCCTGTTCGTATAACATCCACAGTCACAGTTCATTCTAAGAAAAAGAGAGCAAAGTGACATTGTTATATTGTTATTATATGGGATGAGGGGAACAGATATCTTGATTGTCCTCTTACAAGTGTGAGCTTGAGGAGGGGGGTGTTTCCAGCATAGTGATGCTTGTTTGGAAGTGTCCTCATTGTGTTCAATGCAAAAATCTGCCTTTTGCTTCTCAAGGATACATCACACCTCCCCACCCCTAACACCACAGCAGGTTGGAAATTCTTAAAATAAGAGAACAAAGCCAAAAAAAACAAACATTAGAAACAAAGCGAGATGGCTGTCAGTTGACCGGCATTCAATTGATAAAATGGCTGTCGGATTTTTTTCGAAGCTGAGCTTTAATTGGTGGCCATCCGCGAGTGAACATGTCATGCTGTGATCTCCAAGGATTTCATCCCTTCATTTACAGTTTGCTATTGAACAAAAGCTTTTAGGATCCAACTCATTAGGCTCTTACTGTGTTATTCTAGTCACATCCCATTGGTGCTGTAGATTTGATAAACTCAAGTTGTAACTGTTATTCTTTTGTATCTAAACTTTTCAACTTGAAATTGTAACAACCTCACTATAAGAATTTGTGGAAAAAATTATTAGGAATACAGGGTGGAAAGTGTACTATTTGTATGAGCACCGCAAACATAAGTATTTTCTGGGAAAAATAAGGAAAAAGCCTGTTCTTTTATCTCCTTTCATAGATCTGTCTCAACCGTCGCTGCCAAAATACGAGTGTATTTGGTGTTCATGAATGTGCAACAAAATGTCATGGACGTGGAGTAAGTATTACGGATCCAATTTTTTACAGTCAGTCAATACCCAGCTGAGCAATAAATCATTCATTGGTTACAGCTTTTGAAATCTATGATTCTTTCTAATATATCTGTCAAAATCTTTTCAGGATGTCCTTCCAAAAAGATCAATTTTCAGTGCCCTTTTCAATGTTCAAGAAGAGAAATGTTGCTTTTATTTAACAAAGAAAAAAAATCTGTGGACACACTGCCCTTTTCCATTAAAAACATTTTGTTGTTATTGTTTCAAAATAGATTTCAGTACTTTGTACCATTATATTGAGCTGAATCTTTATTCAATAATAATTTCCCATTAATAATAATGAAAAAAGTGATACAGTAAGGGTAAATGTTAAATAACTCCCCAAATTCTTTATTCAATAATAATTTCCTATTAATAATAATGAAAACAGTGATACAATAAGGGTAAATGTTAAATAACTCCCCAAATTAAATATAATTGCAGCCTTGCCTTTCGTATTCTAATTTACAAAATCACAAGATTATTAAAAGGAAAGAATTTTCTTTCTCAAATACATTGGTTTTCCTTTATTGACTATTATTATACTGCTTCACTTTGTCATAAAGCTATTCCAGTTCTCCAAATCTGGTACTCGTACACTGCATATCATATGAACTAAGTAGCCATATTTGTGCATTATGTAGAAATGCATATTTCGTATTTTATAGCGAAGCTTTGTCGTGGGAGGGGGGAAGGTAAACATTAACAATGATAAACACAAAGCTGCAGCTAAAACGGAAAGCATGGGCAAAAGGGTTACAAGGGGTAGTTCCAGGACTTTAAATTTAGATTGCTGGGAAACTAATAGAGACAGGCCAGCTTGGAACTGGCCACGTGAATTATTTTTTAATCCGGGCAAGGAATATGCTAAAAAACCTTCTAGATGGATCAGAGTATCTGTCCAGGTTTCCTGTAGAAAAATGATCTCAAACTGTTGGAGGTAGGAGCAAAAGTCAGTCTCTTTCCTTAAACAGCTGAACTGATTTCAGTCAGCTGTTCAAGTGAGCTATTTGTCACGTAGCCGGTTCCAAGCTGGTCTGTCTCTATTAGTTTCCCAGCAATCTAAATTTAAAGTCCTAGAACTATTCCCTTGTAACCCTTTTGCCCATGCTTTCAGCCTTTTGTTTATTGTTGTTAATGTTTACCTTCCCCCCTCCCATGACAAAGCTTCACCATGCCTTCTTTGGGAGCACCTGTCCACATACCTTGAGCATCTTGAACACCTGTTTCCCATGACAGACATCATTTTACTTGGAGACTTTAATGCTAGAATTGGCAAAGACGACCGTGATCTTTTGGATGCCTTGGACTCAGACCTTAATGTTTCCCTCCCTTGGTTTTTTAGGTCAAGCAGGATTTCTAAAGATACACATATTAACCAGGCTGGTATCCAACTTGTCAGGTTTTGTATTCAATTTGACAAACAAGTGCTAAATGGTTCCACCATCAGAGATTCCCTGGGAGAAGTTACCTTTGCATCAACCCGAGGTTGCAGTGTTTTAGACTACATTTTAAGCCCCCCCATCTTTTAAAGATAATCTAAAGCATTTTTATATTGACCATCGTTCTGAGAGTGACCATTTCCCTTGGTTTTTATATTTGACAGTCCACTATTTCCCTATGACAACTCAGCTTTTGCAATAACTGATATGTCCATGGGGTCTTTACCCAGACTTAATTGGTCACGTAACCTTGCTGTAAAAGCTCAGTCAATAATCACTGAGCAATCACTTGAGAATCTACATTTTATCCTTATGTCTCCCACAAACCCCAAGGAAGTTATTCCTGCTTATAATAATCTCGTTTCCAACCTTATCTCCTTGCTTAATCCTTCTTCTTCCGTGGTCTCAAAAAGCAAACCTAAATATAACCCCTGGCACAACAGAGAATGTCTTCGTTTGAAGTCCACCCTTCGCTCCATCTTCCATCGTTATAGGTGCCACAACATGCCCGGTCTACCCAAAGATTATTTTATTGTTAAACACTAACTATCAGATATGGTTAAGGCCAAGAAACTTCAGCTCGCTAGGACCCAATGGGAGTGCTTGATCGAAACTTCCAGGTCCAAGGATAGCAGGACATTTTGAGCACTAATCTCCGAGGATCTGCAGGGGAAACCTCACCAATCAATAACAATCTTCCCCCAGATTTGGCACTCATACTTCATAAACCTTTTTTGTAGCGATGGGGCAAACCTCTCCAATCCCCCTGAAACTGATATCGGTGAACACCCTGAGTGGCCTCCAGTAACCCCTGAGGATATTATTACCTTGATCTCACAACTTAAGTCCAAAAAGGCTCCTGGCCCTGACGCAGTTATTCCAGAACTACTGAAGTTCCTCCCAGAATGATGGGCTCCCCCTTTGGCTGCCCTGTTCACTATGATAAACAGAACTGGAATAATGCCTACGACATGGACCAATGCTATTATAGTGCCTATCTATAAAAAGGGCAACTCTTCACTACCCATCAGTCTTCTATCAATCATCGGTAAGCTCTACGCTAAACTTCTTCTAGCAAAATTAGAAGACTGGCTAACAACGTGTAACATACTAGGCCCAGAACAAATAGGGTTTCGGCATTGCAAGTCTACCCTTGACCATTATGCAGTATTGTCACACTTAGTCTCCAAATATAGTGGAAAACATCAAAATAAACTCTTCGCTGCCTTTTTAGACTTCAAGGCAACATTTGACTCAATCCCGAGAGAGTTGTTTTGGGCTAAGTTGGCCAGGTTGAATATAAATCCCAGATTGCTCTTCCTGATTAAAAACCTATACACACACACTAGTTGCCAAGTCAGGTATAATCTTCAGGGGAATTTAACTCCGGGAATTCCAATTTGCAAGGGTGTGAAACAGGGCTGTATCCTTGCTCCGGCACTTTTCAACCTATTTTTAAACTACCTATTTTTAAACTATCTATCCCCAGCTTTACATACAATCAATGGGCACACCCCGAAACTTGCTCACCGCCATATTCCCATCCTTTTATATGCGTATGATGCTGTTGTATTGTCTTGTTCCCAAGTTGGACTGAAGTGTTTATTACGCCAAACTATGATTTACCTCAACATTAACGAGCTAACTCTGAATCACAGGAAAACAAAGATCTTAGTTTTTTCTAAGTCATGGAAACAACTCTTATGGTCAATACAGGGAAGCGCTATTGAGCAGGTAAAATCAGTCAAATACCTGGAGATCAATTTCTCCTATAATGGGAGCTGGGTAATCCACCGCAAGTGCGCTCTATTAGTAGCAAGAACTAGTGCCTCAGCTATTGCCCTTTTTTCTATCTGAAAGGGAACAGATATGGCCCTATGGCCCTAAGAGCTTTCGATGCAAAATCTTGCTCCCAACTCTTATATGGTGCCCCCATATGGATCGAAGCCCTCGATCGCACCACCGAAGGCTTACAATCCGTCTTCCTGAGGAAAATACTCGGATTACCTAACTGTGTGCCCTATGCTGCAATAAGCATGGAAACTGGATTGCTATTGTTGGAAACTCACTCTTGGCTCTCAACCTTTAAGTTCTGGCTCCACCTTTTATTCAATTCTAACCAGAACTCTTTTACCTTTTTGATGCTGACGGATCATCATGCTTCCCAATGGTTGACCATGATTCAGAAGAAAATCATGTCCTTAGGAATTTCCCTGGACACATTCTACCTGTCCTCTCCTTCGGCACTATTTCATTCAATCAAACGCAGACTGTTAGACATCCAATTCCAACATTTGACTGAGGCAGCTCGGAAAACTTGTTCCCAAAAAAAGTTATAATTTATACTGAGAAGGTGCACATAGCTTAACATACTATCAAAGATCATAGTCCATCATGCAGGAAATTTTAAAAACTTGTAATTTATCAGTGGAAGGCACACATATTTGGATTTCCATAAAGGGATTCAGATTCAATCCCAAATGTGATAGGGTAGCCTCTGGACAGGCAGACACCAAAGTCAGCTATACAAGATCTGAACGAAGCTTGAGGTTTGTGCCTACCTCCCAGCATAAGAACACCTGGCTGGGGACAGAAGAATATCAAGAATCACTGAAACAGAAGAATGGTTGAAATTCCCACCCCATATTCATCCATACCTGATATTTTCAGTGCATTCCATCAGAGCAAACTGGAATTATCCACCCTGCTTTTTTCCCAGCAATTTGTAGGTGGAGGCAAAAACGTCAAGTGAAGGCTTGTTTGGAATCAAGGCATCAAATTAAAGAAACTCTAGATCAGGGGTCTCAAACATGTGGCCCGGGGGCCATTTGCGGCCCACCGGATGATAGCTTGTGGCCCCCGCCTTGCCTGCCCTCCCAAAGCACCCACGTGGCCTCTACTGTCAAGAGTTTAAAAAAAGCCTCACCTTGCTCACTGGCTCTCTCCCAAGACAGCGCCTCTTGCATCCTCCATCTGGAACTGCAGCCTGCCAGCCAGTCCGCCTGTCTGCCAGCTGGCAGGCTGCAGTTCTGGATGGAGGGTGCAAGAGGCGCTGTCTCAGGGGAGAGCAGGTGAGCGAGGCGTGCTGCTGGCCCTTTTCCCCAAGCTCCCGAGCCGCCACTAAGCGATGCTTGAAGGCGGAGCTTGCTCCCTGCCCATCCTCAAAGAGGGCCTCCAAGCCACCAACAGCAGCTGCTGCCACCGCCACCTCTTCCAGGGAAGCGGTTCTCTCTCTCTCTCAGCACCCCCAGCACTAGCCCGGCCAGTGGCCGCCTCAGTGTCCAGCGGTGCTTCCTCCTCCTCCTCCTCTTCGTTCTGCTTCAGCCACCTCGGCTCTGGAGGCTGCCTGGGCTCGCCTCACAAAGTTTGCTCCTCTGTTGTGGTGGGGGTAGCTGAGCTGCCGAGTGCGCCTTTTTTTGAGGGGGGCCTCAGGGGAAGATTGCTGGCCTATCATTTTCAGTGGTTTAGGCATCTGGCTCTGGAGACAGAGGTTGGAAGTTTGATTCCCCACTGTGCCTCCTTGACAGAGGCTGGACTCAATAAGGATCCCTTCCTGCCCTGCAATTCTATGATGATGGTGATGATGATGATTCCATATCTTCTGATGCACCGTAGCAGAAAGCCTTCTTCCAATAGGGTCGGCTCATCCTTCCGATATATCCCAGGCTGGACAGCTAAGGACACTAACCTTGAGGGAGGCCTGGAAGGAGAAAACAAGGAACCTGGCCTTCTTGGTAGTTGCTTCTCAGCTTTAGAATGAACTGCCATCTGAAATTCACCCCCGCCCCTCTGGTGACCTTTAAGAAATCCCTCAAAACCTTTTTATTCTGGCAAGCTTTCTAAAATATTCCATCTGAAAAGTTCACTGAGACTTTTACCCTGTTATTTTTACTACCATCTGTTTTTAAATGTAATGTTATTTTCAATTTTAATTTTATTTTAAACTAATGTTTATTGTATCATATGTTATTGTCATCACTGTTCACCACCCAGAGTGACCACCAGTCTGATGGGCAGTAGAGAAATGGAAGGAAGGGAGGAAGGAACTGTATCTAGATAAATACAGAAATGTGTTTAAATCAAGTAGGGCAACCTTTTGTTTTGTTCAAGGCCATACTTTCCTACGAGAGATCTACCAGGGTTCACACATCAGTAACAGATAGGCCAACCCAGAAGTGAGAGGACCAGAAACAAATTTATCTCCTTGGCCCCTTTTTTTTTCTTAACCGGAGGGATTCTTTTTTAATCAGGGGAAAATAGATCTAATTAATTACTTGCAGAAACCATTTGAAATTAGGCAACAGTTTTCATATCACTCTCTAAACTGCAGCTTATCCACCATAATCTAACCAGAGCTCACAGGTGAGAGTTTTATTTCATCTCTTCCTGTTATTAAAAAAAAGTATGCTTTGGGAACAAGACCAACAAATATGGAATATACTTGTTTGAGTTCAGGTACACCTCCAGTTTCTTCCCTTGCCTGACTGTAAATTGTACCGAGCATGGAAAGTGTCACCACTCGAATATTAGTGTGTTAAAGCACTCTTGCAAGTTTATACAAATTGTACTTGATTAAATTAAATTTTCCTAAGGTGTTTACATCAAAATGCAATTAAATAATTGTAAATACAGCCATCATAATAGACTAAAGTGGCAAGATCTCAAAAAAAGCTTTATAAGCAAGATTACAATTGTATCTAAAAAACTTGTTTGTTCAGGATTCGTTTTCCTCAAGACCTGTAGTTGAGCTCCTGGCACTCCCATCTTCTTATCAGTTCCTGGAAGACTGTGAAGTCAGTTGGAAACTCAACTGTTTCTCTGTGGGTTGTGTTTTAACTCCCACTTAGTAGTCTACTACTGGATGGCATTTGACAACCCATGAAGCTTTGAATTTCCTCCATGGACCTGAAGAAGTAATAGGCAAGAGGGCATGATGGAAGGATCCTAAACAGGCCTGAAAAATTCATATGTAACATAAGTAACACTCTCAGGGGACAAATGCTCTCTCTGAAAAATTAACAGTCTCTTTTTGCATCTTTCTTACATAGTAGTGGCAGATCACTGGAGCTGCAGCAGCACAACTAGACAGACTGACAGTCTCCTTTTTTTCTCTGACACACTGCTTGCGCATAGAGAAAACTGCTTTCAAATTCTATGGTTTTTAATTCATCAATGAGCAAAATGTCTGTGGCAAGATGCAGTCTTCATAATCCATAGAAGCAGAGTTGCCTTTTCTCAAAATTTACATCTAGTTTTCTTACATCTATTTATCGAAGATTGGGTTCATTTTCACTGAGTGCCTTCTTTACTTTTACATGCATATTCTTTTGTTTTGAAGGTCTGCAACAACAAAAAGAATTGCCACTGTGAGGCCCACTGGGCACCTCCCTTTTGTGACAAGGCAGGATTTGGTGGCAGTGTAGACAGCGGGCCAGTTCGACAATCTGGTAAGTAAATGACTGACTCCAGTGGAAGGAACCCGATTGTCGAGCCTCCAATGTCTCATTCCTGGGTGAACTCACTTCCTGACATTTAATTTAATCTATTTATTTATTTGATTTATATATACCGCCCATCCGGCAGCCAAGGCCTCTCTGGGCGGTTGATGCATGTCATTTCTGTGTTTTACTTTAGGTGCAAAAGTATCTATGGCTAGCTATGACTGATAATAATTCTTCAAATATTTACTACAGAAAAAAGACAGAACAGTGTTTCTTCTCCCATATAGGTTTTCCTGAAACAATGTCATCTTTCCCCTTTTTTGTTATTTTCTGTTGTCCATTTAAATGGCCTGTTACTTACCCATTTTAACTACATCTATTTCTGTCTTTGCTTTTGTCCTGTGGACTGGGTCATGTGTTGGCTGCCTCTCCATTTGTAAGTACTTATGCGGCAAGACATTCACGCTCACATAAATAGCAAGACATTCAAGTACAATTTCTTTGTCACTCTCTCAGATGTTTGAGGAATGTTCCACTTCTTGTATTCTGCCCTGTCTCTAGCAAATTGTAATAACTATTATGTGTAGTATTTATTTGTTGTAGTTTATGTTGCAAGCTGCCCTAAGAACTTTGTTACTCATCATATGAATATGTAAATAAGCAGATAAATAAGCAGTCAGTCAGGGCTAGAATGTAATTCCTTCCCAGTGCCCGTAAAGAGCAACTACCTTAATCTTAGTGTGCTCTTCTGTCTGCGTCTGGCCTATTAAATCTGGGTGAAAGTAGCCAGGGCCTTTTTCTAGGCCCATTTCCCAGCTCAAGATCTTCAGTAGTTAAGAGCAAACCTTTGCTCTACACAGAGCTAATGTATCTTGAAGGCTCCAGCAATCTCCCCATAGTTTTCACAGGTAGAGGTAGGTGTGTGTGTGTGGGTGTGTGTGTGTGTGTGTGTGCGTGCGTGCGTGCGTGCGTGCGTGCGCGCGTGCGTGCGTGCGCGCGTTCTCAAAGATCCTCAAAAGTCCATTTTCCTCAGATCTCTGACATGACCTTTGGAGAAGTCCTAGTACATGTCAATCTGCCTGTATTGCATCAAATTTGATTTTCCTTTAAGAAAGGTCTTCCCTTTTCTCTGTTTGCTGCTGTCATATCTGGTAAATCTGAGTCTAAAGTTGCATAGAATTTGATGTTCTTCTTATAGATTCATTCCATGCATTGTAAAAAGTCTGTCTGAGGTGAAGTTCTATGTTTAACAGCAGAAACAGCAGAAACAAGGGTACTTTTGCATGGACACCTAGGATTGGCTTGAAAATGCTATCACTTTGGTATGAATAACCTATTCAAAAGTAAATTAGATTGCATTTGGTGCATATTGGTTCCTGTAATGAGTTGTAATACGGAGTTTGTGACATCATGATAATTTCCATAACAATGCAGGGGCATTACTGTCTGACAGCAAGAAGTAACTAATGAAAAGAAGGATTGTAAAAGAGAGTAACCTTATTCAAACATAAATCACTGCTATAGGGAAGAAGAAGGAAAGGAAAATATCTAGGAGTTGGATGAAGAAATTTAAGCCACTGTACTAAACTCACTTATTCCAGAGCAGACCTGTTGAATATCCAGAGCCAAGCAATAATCACATAGTCTTTCAATCTTCTGAAGTCCTTGGATTATGCTTTTTCATATACTAACTCATTCTAAATGGCCTGAGAATGCCAGTGGGCATGATTTTTGAAGTTCGTTATTTTCAGTAGAGGAAGTAAGCCTATGCTTCTTTCTCTACCCGTTTAAAGGGGATTTGCAAGTGCTAGCTTTGACTGGGCCACACATAACATCTAAAGCCCTTGCCGCTTTGAAATAGAAATCTGCCATTAGTGGTCAGCATGAAGAACACATGATTGTTCCACTTCCATTGAGTGATATAGGGGAATTACTTGAGTTTGCATGGATACAAAAGTAGGAATCATTGCAAATTCAAGGGCAAAACTCTTGTTGAAAATTTATTTAATGTGTCAAATTCAGGAAAGAGTGCCTTCATTTTGGAGTTAATTTTATTCAGAAAGAACTACTTTCCAAATTAACAGGCCCTAAATTAACAATCATTTTGCAAAACTGGGATTATGCTGTGTTTCCAAAAAAAAGAAAGAGAAAGAAAAAGTCAACCAATAGAATTTTCTAGAGGGACTGGCTGTTCTTTCTTGACATGTAGGGTTAACTGCAAATCCTAAATAGAGTCAGTTAAATTACAGTTCTACCAGTTAATCATTCAATTCTTAGGGAGAGAATTCCACCATAGGTATTGGGCTTTGTCCTCAATATGCTGAGAACAGAAGTTTGTAAACCTGAGCTGACAGATGGTATTCTTTAATAATGTGGTGTATAAGTCTTGCTAGTAACTCTAAGTGCTCCACACACTTGCTATTATTTCTTCAAACATAAGCCTCAAACAGTGAGCAACAGAGCTATTACTTTTGATTATTCTTTCTCCGCATCAATCAGTGAAAATATTTTTTTCAGGTTTGTACTAAAAGGATGGGTAAGAATAAGCATATGATTATCATCAGTGGCTGAAACACAAGGACATTATCTTGTCATGAGTGGCACACCTGTGCTTCAGTACAAATCCAGATGTCAAGTGGGAGAAATGGGTTTACCCAAGAACAGCCACATTATTATCAAAGGCTGAAATAGAGAGGGTCATAATGGCAGTTGTGTCATGATATTTCCATGTGATCTTATACAGTTGTGTTCAAAATTATTCAGCCCCCAATGCTGTAAAGGGGTTTAGGGACTATAGTGTACATTTGGAATTGTATTCAGAATGAAATCCTACAAGGACGTTTTAAAGAACCAAATGCAACTAAAATAACATCAATTGTTTATGTAATACAGTAGTAAATGTTTCTTTTGTGGTTTCTTCATTGCCACAATTATTCAACCCCTTAAAGACTACCACTCTGAAGAAGAGAGGTTCATTCAGGTGTTTTCGATCAGGTATTGAAAACACCTGTGGATGTCACCAAGCACCAATCAAGCATAATAAGCACCAATTAGGCAGCTTTAAAATGACTGTGATACTCAGCTCCTTCTAGACATTTACTGGTGTGGTTACAAATATGGTGAAGTCAAGAGAATGGTCCAGGAAGACAAGAGAAGAGGTGATTTTTCTTCACAGGAAGGGCAATGGCTATAAGAAGATTGCAAAGAAGTTAAACATACCAAGAGACACCATAGGAAGCATCATTCGCAAATTCAAGGCAAAGGGCACTGTTGAAATGCTACCTGGTCGTGGAAGAAAGAAGATGCTGACTTCGACTGCTGTGCGCTACCTGAAGCATAGAGTGGTGAAAAGTCCCCGTGTGACTGCTGAGCAACTGAAAAAAGATTTGTCAGATGTGGGTATAGAAGTTTCAGCTCAGACAATAAGGCACACACTGCGTAATGAAGGTCTCCATGCCAGAACACCCAGGCGCACCCCCTTGCTGTCTCCCAAGAATAAGAAGAGTCGACTGCAGTATGCCAAAAGTCATGTGGGCAAACCACAAAAGTTGTGGGATAGTGGTCTGTGGACTGATGAAACAAAATTAGAACTGTTTGGGCCCATGGATCAACGCTACGTTTGGAGGAGGAAGAACAAGGCAAGGTACCATGAATTCTCTTCAGCACCAGGAGATATTGGATGAAAATGTGATGCAGTCCGTCACACACCTGAGGCTTGGGAGACGTTGGACTTTTCAACAGGACAATGATCCCAAGCATACCTCCAAGTCCACTAGAGCATGGTTGCAGAGGAAAGGCTGGAACATTTTGGAGTGGCCATCGCAATCACCAGACTTAAATCCGATTGAGAACCTCTGGTGGCACTTAAAGAAAGCAGTTGCAGTGCGCAAGCCTAAGAATTTGACTGAACTGGAGGCTTTTGCCCATGAAGAATGGGCGAAGATACCCGTAGATCGCTGCAAGACACTTGTGTCAAGCTATGCTTCACGTTTAAAAGCTGTTATAACTGTAAAAGGATGTTGTACTAAGTACTAAGATTGAATGTCAATTGGGGGTTGAATAAAAACTAATAATGATGTGAGCACAGAAAAGACATTTGTGGTTATTTCATTATAAACTTAAGGTTATATTTCTCTGACCTACAAGTGCCTCTTTCATGTAAATGTAAGCAAGATGACTGAATGATCAAAATCAATGTCAAAATGGCCAAAACATTCAATTTCAGTGGGGGCTGAATAATTTTGAACACAACTGTAGTCCCACATGGCTTAGGCAACCCTCCATTATTCGAGCAAAGAGTAAGAAGCCACTTGTTTTACTATAAATGCAGCCTCTTGGTAGATTAAAACAAAAATGTATATATGAACTGACATGCAGCTATACTGCTGACAAAAGATAGGCAAAACTATCTTTCATTTAACCTGATTGTGTATGTTTCTTTTTTGTCTCTGCAGATAACCGGAATTTATTAATAGGGCTGTTTATAACTATCCTGTGCCTTCTAATTGCTGGTTTAGTTCTATACATCAAAAGAAAGATTTTGATTAGATTGTTCTTTATTAATAAGAAGACCACAATAGAGAAACTAAGGTATAGTATATCTTTTTAGAAATAAAAACCAGTTTGTGTAGTCAATAGAAAGCACTACCCTTTGGAGTCTGACAGTGATGAAGGAATAACAATCTGGGTGGGTTTGTTTTTCCTGTTCACAATCATTAAAAACACACTTTTTAATTTATGTACTGTTTGGGATTGTAGCTAAAAAAAATCTAACAGTACTGTGCCCTTATTTAAATGAAGGTGACTAGGTGGAATGCACATTAGAGGAGAAGGTAGAACATGCTTCCTCATCAGAGTGGTCTCAAAAACAGAAGCACTGGAAAGACTTTCTAGGTGGCAGAAGTTCCCAGAAGGCATGTCTTCTACAGTGAAACATTGGGACAACACAGGGCCATACTATAGATGAAGTTAAATATATTCATGTGTGATGTGAAGGGTTGTAGTCATTTATTTTTGTATATACAGATTGTGTCAACTAATGTGGAAAGAGATAATTAATTGAATAACAAGATCTGTAGAAGGGGAAAACTAGCCCTCTTCCTCCCAGCTGATGTCTTGAAGCTAATACTTTCTCTGAAGATAGCATTTGTTCTGCCATAGGTGTTGGGAGTGGGTCTTCCCAATGCAGACATTACCTTCCTTGGAGTACTTTGTCCTCAATACACTGAGGGCATGTAGTTCTATTTCTTTTGTTGATATTTTGATTTCATTGCTGGACACAGTAGTGAGCTGGATAAGGATTATGTGGTATATGAAATAAAGGGTTGGCTAGGGACCTAGGAGGTCCAATCTTTGGTCACTGGTGAGCCATGAAACTCCATGGGTGACCTTGGCCAACTCATGCCCTCTCAGCAGACCTTTTTGTAGGGTTGGGAGGATAATGTGGGGAGAAGAGCCATACATATTGCCTTGAGCTTATTGTGGAAAAGGTGGGTGGCATATAAGTTAAATAAATGAATGAATGAATGAATGAATGAATGAATGAATGAATGAATGAATGAATGAATGAATGAATGAATGAATGAATGAATGAATGAATGAATGAATGAATGAATGAATGAATGAATGAATGAATGAATGAATGAATGAATGAATGAATGAATGAATGAATGAATGAATGAATGAATGAATGAATGAATGAATGAATGAATGAATGAATAAATAAATAAATAAATACAGACAGACAGACAGACAGATAGATAGATAGATAGAAGATTAGGACTCAGGAAGCCTGGGTTGAAACCCCTGTTCAGCCATGAAAATTCATTGGGGGTGTGGAACTAATACAACCACTCCTTAAAAATCCCACTTACTTTGAAATCCCTGGGACCACTATAAGTCAGTTCCAACTTAAAAGCCAACAACAACAACAACAACAACAACAACAACAATCAATCAATCAAAAATAAATAAACAAACAAACAAACAAACAAACAAATAAATAAATAAATAAATAAATAAATAAATAAATAAATAAATAAATAAATAAATAAATATGAAAAAGATGGATGTGCTCTTCCTTAGGAAGAAGATGGACTCTGGGGTAGGGATTCACCCTGGTTTACATAAGATGGTTCTCTCCTTGATGACTCAGGTCGGAGTTTGCTCTTGTATGTGGCCTTGAAGCTAGAGGTTCACATAATGTCGTTGTCAGGGACATCTTTCTCCAATTTAGGCAGGTGTGTCAGATGCACTTCTTTCTTAGAAAAGACAGTTACACATATATTGCTTTAAAGGAAATTGGATTACTTAGTACTACTGTTACTGAGTCTTTGGACATTTCAAGAATGCACACCAAGGGGCCATATTTTGCTTGTCTTTCAGTGTCTGTACTCATTGAAAATCTGTTTTTGGGTGTGATTAGACATTTTGATTGTTCTTGAAATCTCACATGGCCTGAGTCCAGTGATCATATTATCCTACATCAGCTTCACTTGACCATTAAGGTCATAGAGAGAGGTCCTTCACTGTGTCCCATCTCTAACAGAATCACAGCTGGGTTGTACAGTAGCTTCTTGGTGGCCACCCTATTATCACTGAACACTATGTCCTGTGGGGCTCAGGTAGCCCTTTCTCAGGATGGCATCTGCCAGTTACTGAAAAGTTTTATACTCATGTGCTTTGAGCTTGCCAAGTAGATAATATTCTATCCAAAGAGTGTGTTTTATCTGTATGTCCATCTTTGTCAGGTATTGTTTGATACTACTGCTTCACCGTGATATTGTGATTTTAATTCTTGAAAGCCAGCTCAGAGAATTCACATTAATGGAAAAGGCAGAATTTAAAATATATATATATATTTATAAATTATAAAATTTAAACCCTGCATTTCCAAGTATGTTTCTCACGCTGAATTAAGACCACTGGAATCAGCTATGCAGAGATGTCCTAAATGTGTTTTTCATTATGCTTTGTTGATAAGTAATTAAAAAGTGAAGAGAAATTTGCCTTCGTTTTGAACTTCTTGAAATATTAAAACATTGGGTTTAATATTTTTTTTAAACATCAGTTTTAATATTTCAAGAAGTTCAAAATGAAGGCAAATTTCCCTTCATTTTTAAATTGTTTATCAACAAAGCAGAAGGAAAAACATGCTTAGGACATATCTGATAACTCATTCCAGTTGTCTCTTGTGCCTAGTGTACTGAATGAACCATAGTCACCATGACTACCGTTTAAACACCAGCTTCATTAGAAGCATCTCTTGGGTGTTTTAAGTTGGGTATTTTCTTCTACAGATTGCAAGAGCTAATTTAACAGACTAGTGGTTCTACAAAACAATTTTAAAAAATAAATATTTATTTTTATTCTTGCAAGTGCATTAGATAGATTTTACTTTCACTGTATAATAAAGGAAAGATAAGCAAGTTCTATAACAAAATATGACTTTGAACATATGTTTTAAAGACAATGGCTGTCTTTAATGTGTTTAATTTTATTGCAGGTCTGTGAGTCCAGCAAGGCCTTCCAGCACTTTTGAACCTAATCATATTCCTTCTTCAGCCGTCAGTAAAAACCTAGCCAATGAGCCGCAAAGCATGAGCACACATAAGGTGGGTTGTTGCACAATCCAAGTACCAGTGATACGCTCTGATCTATGTTTCCCACATTGTAAGTATGTCTATAAAGGGTAATACAATGAAAGATTGAAAGCATGAATTTGGGGGGGGGGGGAACCTGGTCCAAACATCCATTTGGTTGGACTTCTAAATTCTAGCTGGAGCTGAGCTTACAGAGGTTTTGTCTTCCCTTCACCATGTTTGTTCTGACTCTGGCCTGTATCAGATGAACAGATTACCTGGCCCTCACTTTTTTCCCTACATGGCAATTTGCATGAACTTTCCCTACATTTTTTTTTCAAAATCTGTATATTTCTTTAAAAGGTGCATATTTTATTTGCATTTTCCATGATAAAAACACAATTGTGAGCATTTTTTTAAAAAAATACTTCCTTTTTTCCCCATGCACATTTTTTCCAGATGTTCATTTCAGAACATGAGACTTGGGTCACTGCATTAAAATGCAAACCCAGTGAATTTTCTCATCCATCCCATGGTTTTAAACAGATGGCAATGGTAAGAAATAAATGCATTTAATCTCTGGATTGCAGCCAGATATATCAGACTGGAGCAATGCTTTCCAAACATCCAAGGATTAGTGTTTGAATAAGCTCCTGGAAGCTGTTAATTGGTTGTTCTTTGGCTTCTATAACAGCAAAATGGGCATATTAAAAGGAGAGATGTTCAGAACAACACTGAAAGCACATATATTTACATCCATTAATTATAAGATATGTTTGGAAATTATATTGGCTCAATCCAGCCAAAGCTAAGTATTTTAAAGAGCACTGATTTCAGCAGGAGAGTTAATTTTGTTCTTAGCATGCTTCCTCTCCCTCCCTCTCTCAATCTCTCTCTCTCTCACGTGCACGCAATTTCTCTCGTAATCTCTCACTCATGTGAAATCAGTGGAGTCTATAAAGCATAACTTTGGCTGGATTGTGCCCAGTTTGCTCAAATTGCTGCTAATTTATGTCTACAACTATTTTATGGCTTTGCAGAGAAATGATCCACAAAAAGTGCTACGATATCAGACAGGTGATATTACTAAGTCTATGAAGACCCAGCATATTTCACACTCAAGTCCACGAGAACGTGTCTTGCCTCCCATTTCCAAGATAACTTGTCAGCAGCCAGTTCCTAGAAATTTGTTGTCTGCAATCCCTTCAACACATGAGCAGGTACATTATTTTCTTTTTAGGGTCAAGCGAAAGGATTCATTTAGTACACATTTAGAAGAGGTGCTCCTTCTAAATAAGTACTAAGCAAAAGTAGTTAAAGACATCTGCCTTTTTACCTAGTCTATTACCTCCTTACCTATCTGTCTTGCATTTAGCATGCTTTCTATTATTTATAACTGGAAAGCGAACATGAAATTCTGCATCTTGGAATTGTTGTAGATCGCAAGGTGAATATAAGTCAACATTATGATGTAGCTGCAAAAGAGGCAAATGCTCTTTTAGCCTACATTAACAGAAGTATAGTCTCCAAATCATATGAAGTACTAGTTACCCTCTATCTAGGACTGGTTAGGTCTCATCCTGAGTACTGCATCTAATTCTGAACACCACACTTTAAGAAGGATGCAAGCAACGTGGAATGAGGAGGGCGACAAGAATGATCAGGGTACTCAAAATCAATCTGTATGAAGAAAGACTGAAAGAATTGTTAAATAATGGAGTTAAAGGGGCCTATAAGTCCATCAAGTCCACCTCCCTGCTCAATGCAGGAATCCAGATCAAAGTATATTTGACAGATTGTTCTCTTGAATGCTTCTAGCATTGGAGTGCTTACCAACTACCAAGGTACTTGATTCCATTGTTGTAGTCTCTAACAGGAAGTTTTTCCTGATATTTAACCAAAATTTGTCTTCCTGTGAAGCCATTATTATGTGTCCTGCATTCTGGGATGATGAAGAGCACCGGACAACAGACCCTGCAGCTCCTCTGTCTGACAACTTTTCAAATATTTTAAAGTGCTATTATATCTCCCTTCAGTTTTTTCGCTAGGGTAAACATGCCCAAATCTGCTCCAGTTTGTCAGTATCCTTCTTAAAGTTTGGTCTCCCAGAATGGATACAGTAGTCAAGATGAGGCCGAACCAATGCCAAACCGAAGGGAACTAGTACTTCACAGGATTTGGAGACAATACATCTGTTAACACAGCCTAACATAGCACTTGCTTTTTTTTGCACCTGCATCACACTGGCTCATTTCAGTTTGTGATCTACAACAATTCCAAGATCCTTCTCACAGTATTAATGAGCCAAGTATCCCCATCTTGTAACTGAGTGTTTGATTCCCCCCCGCCGCCATGTGTAGAACGTAGCACTTATCCCTGTTATTTTTCATTCTGTTGTTTTCATCCCAGCAATCAAGTTTATTGGGCTGTTTTTGAATTTTGGTTATATCTGCAAGGATATTAATTTTTCCACTTGGTTTTGTATCATCTGCAAATTTAATAAGCATTCTCTACACCTCCAAGTCATTAATAAAAATGTTGAAGAACACCAGGCACAGAACTTAGCCTTGGGGTACCCCACTTGTTCCCTCCTCCCAGTTTGAGAAGGAGTCGTTGATAAGCACTCTTTGAGTATGATTATGTACCCGACTGTGTATCCACCTAACAGTTGTACTATCCAGCCCATAACTAGTTAGCTTGCTAAACAAAATATCAATGGCCACTTTGTCAAAGTCTTTGCTGGAGTCAAGATATATTATGTCTACAGCATTCCCACCATCTACCAGGGAGGCTACACAATCAAAAATGAGATAAAATTAGTCTGCAGGATTTGTTCTTGATAAATCTGTGTTGGCTTCTAGTTATTACTTCATTGTTTTCAAGGTGATTGCAGAGTGACCTCTAGAATTTTCCCTGGGATTGATGTCAAGCTGACTGGTCTGTAGTTCCCTGTTACCTCCTTTCTGCCCTTTTTGAAGTTGGGGACAATATTAGCCCTCCTAATTTAGGGAGTTATTAAATTCATATATTGGAAACTATTTGATGGCACCTAACAACATATTTTCCCCAATTAAATATAAAGATCTGGTGGAACGTTCAAAGATACAGATCTAAAATGTAAGGAGTAAATCCATCTAATCTACAAATGTTATACTCTGAGACAAAAATGGGTCAGCAAACAGCCTTGGCTGCAACACAGAATTTGGGGAACAACATACAGTACATTAATGACTCTAAGGGCTGTAGTTTTGGATGACAGTTCCAAGATTCTCCCCACTGTTGTGGCCATTCTGGTAGAAGGATACTATGTTTCCCACATTGGGAACTGTAACTAGAAAAGTAAAGTTTTCTATCTCTGGCTAGAATAGAAGTAATCTTGGTCTTCAAAGAACATGACAAAAAAGACAAAGTTGGGGAATAGTACTGCATAGGCACACAGTCTCTCTCGAGATGTAACAATACTGCTTTTGTTCACTGAAGATGCCAGTCAGTGATAAAACATTGTCTGCGATAGCTTGGTTTTGTATACGAAATAAAGTAACAAATGATATCATTGTCCTGCGTAGGATAGAGTGCACATTTCTGCATTCTTGCAGGCAGTCTCAGAAAATTTTTGTGGAGGCAGAAGTATAATTCCTTCTGATTGCCAGCTGCCTCCATAATATTGGGTTTCAGGTTATACTTTTGTTATTTTCATTTTCAGAATGTGGTACTAACTGAAAAACTCCAAAGTTACAACAGTGCAATAAAACCAAAGCACAATTCCCCTTGCAACATAATACACTGAAAAGTTTTTCAAAATATCTATTACTGCTGGAAGCTACCATGAAAAAAAGGGGAGAACCATATATTTATTTTATTTGTACGATCAACAGATCAGATGTGAACCATAATTTATAACCTAATATAATATTTCAGTAATATTTCTTCTCTATGTGTTTCAGCTTCACTTCCACCTGTAGTGTCTGTCCGAAGGAATGATATACAAGCTGAACTTTTCCTACGCTCATGAAATCTAGCAGATTTAATGCTGCTTTACTGGTGCATATTATAATAGCAGTCTTCACCTCCTTGGAGGATTTAGCCTTCACCAATCATATTACATATTGTCTGTAACCATCAATTAAAATGCAAACCAGTGTGGTGCAGTGGTTTGTTTATTATTTATATGCTGCCTTTGTCCCCATATGGAATCTAAGGCGATTCATAACAATTAAAATTGTACAATAATACCGGGTTTTAAATACTATAAAACAAAAACTATAAAATACTATAAAACAACTATATAAAATACAAATAAACATTAATTATGATTAAAACGAAGATTTAAAAGATGTTTTAGTGGTTAGATTAGCACTGGGAGGTCCCCATCACAACTCAGTCATGGTATTCATTGAATTACCTTTTTTGGACTGTCTTAGAACTTCACCAAATACTTTGGGATTTACTTCATTTATAAAACAAATTATTTTTCCTGCCAACATATGCAAAGGCTAAATCAAATCTGTCCAGCCCTTTTGGCTTGCAAACTGCCTTTTTACATGTCTAGATATTTACTTTTTTCGTGCCAGAAGGATTTGAAAGGGCTTTTTACTGTGCAGACAGGATGGTATTGGTTTGTCTATAAAGGAAAGGGAGGAAGAAGCAGGTGAAGCATCAGCTGAGATAAAAGAGCGAGGTGAATGATGTGTGCATCTATGTGAAGTGAGACAGCTTGCACACACACAATCACACACACAACACACACACAAAAACCAAAGTAGTGCCAGTACTCACCTCTCTGCAAAGTCTCTCCTCCCCTAAGTATTTTTAAACAGTTCCCTTCTGTAGTCCTGTTTATTCAATTATTTAACAGCTTAAGAACTCTCTCACCATCAACATACCCTACAGAAGTGACTGGGAGGAAAGATTTTTTTAAGGCAGCTCCTCTGACCTGTGCTACCAACAGGCACTTCAATTGGAAGTAGAAGGCTTTTTTCCTTCTGCTGCCATGGCCACTTATGTTGGAGAGAACTGAATGCCCCAATGTGTAATACCTTCACAGCAAGAGAAGGCCAGTTAATTAGAATTTCCCTTGCTGTGTAGTCACAGCCTTAGTCTATTTCACCTCACATAGTTTTTCAGAAGATACAGGGAGGAGGAAGAATAGCCTTAAATGCCACCTTAAGTTCATTTGAGGAAAGGCAGGTTGTAAATGTAACTACAGTAAGTAAATTTTTAAAAAAGGAATTCATACTAAATAGCCTAGGGGCAGAAACTATAGCAGATGCTTTCTATCACTTCTTAAATTTATTTATCACCTTAGAAAAAAAGTGAGGGATCTAGTTAAGATTATTCTGAATCTGAACCATCTGAATGACAGATATACCCGAATATGACTTTTGGGTTGTTGTCATTTTTCCTTCTTTGCTTTCAGCATGTTTAATAGTGGATATTTTGAAAGAATAATTTATGTAGTAAAAAACATTCTAGATGCATTCTGAAATAAATAATGTTGGATCTCCTTGTGAGGGAATAATGCATGTATTATTTGACTTTGTCATTTATAGCTTCCTTTTTATAGTCACTGCTTGAATTACCTTTAGCCTTTTTAATTTTGTACCTTCACTTACTATTAAGGGCTATAGTGAAAAGCCACAAAATATGAATGCTTCAATCAATACTTGTTTTGAGGGACAAATTAGAGGTTGGCCTATGCTCCCTACGGGCCAGTGAACACACAACTGTTAACATTTAAAAGGTTTTACTGAGAAAGATAGTGGGTAACTGAAGGCTCATAGCTTTGATTGGTTGTAGCAGGGTAGACTTGGTGCAGCATGAGGAGTGAACTGGGTGACCCACCTGCCAGTCAGTCACCTTTACCACCCTGAAGGAGAGCCAAGGATTGGCACCAGGGTTGGGTGTACCAACAGGTGTGTGACTACTAAGGGGGAACCCCTTAGTATGCATTGTGATGAGGGGGCTCTGCAGCTTGCCTGAGCCAGGTGCACTCTTCTCAGCCCCCCCCCAACTCCTTCATCCCCATGGGGGGATCTCAAGCCTGGCATCAGGTCAAACCCCTGTCTCTTTCAACAGGGATCTGCTCATGTGCAAATCCACCCTCAGTTGCAACAAAGAGACCATAACAAAGTTGACATAATTATAATACAATATTCAGTCCTCAAAAAAACCAACCTAACAAAAATACAATTAACTATAAACTTTAGAGATTATCTAACACTAAAAGGAGATAGGGTGATGAAATATAGAGTAAGACTAGCTGGAGAACAGCTGGGAATCTCTATAAACATCTCTCTGATGAGCAAAAGTGAAGAGTGCCTTCGTTCAGTTTGCCAGGCAGATCTCTTCCAGCATGCCCCAGCCAGCTCTCAAATATCTGGGGAATCTCCTGCCTGATTGACTGGTTCCGCCAGCTTGCTTCTCCGTGATCAGGTCTACAGGGGCGGGGGATAGATAGATAGATAGATAGACTCACAAAGCTCCTCAGACCTGAGAGCATGGCGGGCACTTTTCTATGCAGCCAAGCCATACTGGGCCACAAACCAGCCTCAGATAAGCTGACCGGGGGAACTTAGTTCTATCTAAAGCACTTAATGGTAAATCAAGAGATGTAACGTCACTTTTTGGCTGAACTTCAAATGTCAAAAACTGCCACAATATTAGCCACAAATTGGCACAAAATTATCAATCTCATTAATTCTGTGTATACTTTGTTCCATACAAAATGCTTGTTAATGCTTATCTCCCTGACTTCAATTACTTCATATCAAAATAAGCTCTGAAAATTAATGGTGGCTTGCTTAATTCCTTTTTGTTACAAAAATCCTAGGGTGTTTTTTTTTAATTGCAGGCATCTTGCAAGCCAAGTCCTCCTCAAAAGCCTTTGCCAGCTGATCCTCAGAAGAGCAAATCAGCCCAGTTTACCAGTGGATTCAGGACGGTGCATGGGCTTCCAAAACCTGTGCCTCACCTTGCTCCTGTCAGGTTAGTTTGGTTGTGTACTTACTTCTATTATTAGATGTTTTTCCCTTGAAATATTGAAGAATATTTCTTAAAGGTAGCTACCTTGTTTCCCCAAAAAATAAGACAGGATCTTATATTATTTTCAGGAGATGTTTTATTTTAGTCATGTCATCTTCTTCTGGTTCCTGCACAATGGTGGAGGGTGGGGTTTCACTTAACTGGGGCTTATTTTTGGGGTAGGGCTTATATTACGAGCATCCTGAAAAATGATACTGAGGATTATTTTCAGGTTAGGTCTTATTTTCAGGGAAACAGGGTATTTTGATGGGGTGGGACTTAGCTTTTCTACCCACAAAATGATTTTAATCCTCTAAATAAGGATGAATTTTCATGAACTGGTACTTGTATTAAGAAAATACCATCATACAGTAAGAAATACTGTAAGTCTGCAACAATTGCATCCCCTTGTAGTGAGTTTGTGAGAGAGCCACATTAAGAAGCATTTTTGAAGTCTGACTTAGAAATATCATGAAAGATGTACAAGATATATTTCACCAAAGGTTTGCCATATAGATGTGTCATTAAATGCGAGGAGGGAGTTAGCTGATAGCACACCAAAGAGCACTGCCTTTTAGGAATGATTCACTAATGGTTTCCATCTGTGAATGCTCTCACTGGATTGAAAAAAGGTGAGTGCCAGGGTTTATAGTCTGTGCTATTAACAAAAGTTATGATAATAAATATTGTGGCATCTTGAGTAACGGGTGTGTTCTAAGCATTTTTAGGAAAAAGCATGTCTTATAATAGAATGCAGCCTTGATAGTTGGCTATGCAAAATATGAATAAAGGATGTTCAGTTACACATACAGTACAACGAGCTGTGTGATCACGCAGGGAAATAGACTGCTATTTGTACAGCTTGTGGAGTGTTCTAGTTGTGAGGAAAAGCACTCCAACCTGATCCAAGCTTGTAGGAATGACAGTTGTAGGGCTTTTCCATTTTTAGAGGCTCGGCTAGAGTGATTCCCTGGCAGACGGAAGGGTTGCTTTAAGGCAGATTGCTCCCATAAAAGTACCCTTTCAGTGCAGTTAGGTGTGCACTTTGGCAACCATCCGATCACACCCTAAATATTTTCTGGAATATCAGAACATTAAAGATGAATTCATGGATCTAAAGTCAGTTGCCAGCCCTGGCTACAGTAGAGCCATCAAATCAATGGAACTGACATGTGTTTACTTACCATTCAGCCATTGTGATTCTATGGATCTCCTCCTGCTGGGACTAGCAACTGGATTTCAGTCTGACTGTACTAAAAAGGGTACAGATTTCTATGGTCTGTTACTTTTTGTTAACAAAATTCTAGATTGAGGATTGCTGATACTTTTGACTGAAGAGTCGGATATATTGATTAGAGAATCTGATTGATCAGAGAATCTCTAATCCTATATTGATTGATTCTAATCTTATATTGATTAGAGAATTTCTGGCAGCAGCCTACTGGGGCAGCTTTCTGCATGCTGTGCCAACTGGCATGCACACCAAAATCCAGTGGATCTAGGTTTGGAAATTGGGCAATCAAAAGCACTTTGTATGACAAAAATTGTAAAAAAATATATTTGTAACAGAGGATGCTAATACTGTCATTTCTGTTGCTCCACAATTAATATAGTTGCACCTTTAAAATGTTTGCTCACATCTTTCTGCCCTTAACCATCTTTCAATAAACAGGCCTGCACCTAAACATCCACCTCACGTGCCTAGACCCTGCAATGCTGCCAACATGAAATGAGAAAAAGGAAGACCATTTTTATCCAGAAAAGTGAAGACAGATGTTTGCACTATTTTCCGCTCTAGTTGGAGATCAATATTTTTATAATTATAGGTAGAAAATCCTGTTATTTTTAAGAACTTTTGAGTACTGCCTTTGGTGCTATGCTGTATGAAGGTGGTCCATGTCCTTGCTCAGGTACTTGTAAATTATTAATTTATGCTGAATATGTATTACAGTGCAGAGCACTGTAGTAGATATCATTTCACCACAACTAAATTTTCCTAGGAAGGAAGCCATTTTTGTAACGTTCAAGCACTCTTGAACCATCCTTCATTGCAGTTTTTTCAACAGGCTGTGCACACTCTTCAACATTCATTTAATTTATATCTGTTCTTTCCAGTATCCTTACTGGGGCTGAAATGAAACTTCCAGAATACGGTACTGATGAAATTCAAAAGTATTTCAAAACTCCCAAAGGCCAATACTTGATCAGTGGAATCTGGCAGCAAAATTTAATTTTCTGGGATAAACATTAAAGGAAGGGGAAACTGCAATTGCCAGTTCTGTTGCCCATTGATATTCTGTTGAATTCTTGTGTGAAAATCAAATAAAAGTAACTGTACACATTTATCAGGGCTAAGCTGTTGAAACAAACATCATACAAATATTTCAGCATAGAAATTCAGCCACTGAATGTTGAAGTCATCTCTAACAACATACATATTTACCACATGTAATTGTCTATCACCGCTTGCCAGAAATGGAAATGTTGCATACCCTGAGTATATTAATGGCAAAATACTGCTGTTGGTGGGCTTTACTCTATTCCTTCTGGTGGTTCAGGAAAAGACATCACAGCATGTGTCAGTGGTGCCTCACAACCACATCTGTACTGCTAACAGAGAAAGGGAACCTCCATTTGCAGACCATTGTGCAAGAATTTGGGAAGCTGCAATTACTGGGTATTCAGCCTCAGAAACACAGTAATGTCAGCAGAAGCTGTTGACAGCAAGGTGCAGAACCTGATGGCTGTACCTCCCTTGCAAGAGTCAGGGAAAGGGAGAGGCAGTTGCTATCACTTCTGCGGCACATCACTTCCTTTAAGCCCTTCACCACCTGCTATACAAGAATTGTCGGATTTACTCCAGAGTAGTTTGAAAGCCCCTATTTAATCAATGTTTATAGGAGATTTCATGGTAACCAACTATTTACCAAGAGGGAATTGGTGAAGGTAAGACAGCAGCTGTTGCAGAGAAATAATACACACATGTGATGTATACAGAAGGCATCAGGCACCTACTTATATCATCTACATTCACCATGCTGCTGCAGAGCTGTCCTTTCTTTTTAAGCATTAAATATATTTTTGAGGCTCAAATATCCCCAAATTGGCACTCTTCTTTTGATAAGAAAGGTAGCCTCGAATATCCAGTTTCTGACACATGACCTTGGAGGTGACAGCAACAGATTCCAAAGTTAAACATACAGTAGAAGGATTGATTTCAGCTCTTGTATTTATTTTCATCAATCAGTCATCTGATTCAAAGCCAGAGTCCCACTGATTTAGATAAATCTTCAACCAGATTACACTGACACAATCCATTTTCCCCCATACTATAATGAAATGCTGTATCTGCTCAAAGCTGTGCATCATGTTTCATTGTACTGTAATCTTAAAAGCCTGTATTTCAAGAGAGTGTATAGCTTTCAAAACTTTTTCTTAATGACATGAAAAATACTGTATACTTACCGTGTTTCCCCAAAAATAAGACAGGGTCTTATATTAATTTTTGCTCCAAAAACCGCTGTAGGGCTTATTTTCAGGGGATGTTTTATTTTTTTCATGCACAACAATCTACATTTATTCAAATACATTGCTGCACAATGGTGGAGGGTGCGGCTTCACTTAACTAAGGCTTATTTTGGGGGGAAGGGCTTATATTACGAGCATTCTGAAAAATACTAGGGCTTATTTTCATCTTAGGGCTTATTTTCAGGGAAACGGTACAAGGCCATTTTAACCTGATTGTTGTCAGACTTGGTACATCATTTCCATGTTAATGCATGTTTCATGCTTTTTACTTTTTTAAGAAAAGATGCTTTGAGAATTACTTTCAGGCTATACAATCTAAAACTCATTTCTGTAGCCAGTGGTGCAGTTGATCCCATGGCCACACAGTATGATCATCATTAAGTTAGCCTCTCTATTAGGCCTGTACCAGGCACACACGCATGCATGCACACACACACCAATATTTACACCAGTCATCCATCTTCAAATGGGCGCTTAAAAAAGATTCAGTAAAAGCAGAACCACTTCAGGCCATTTCCCTAACCTGAAGTATTGCAGTCCATATCCCACATTCAACTGATAGGCCAAACTAAGGCAGACGCCTTAAAATAAATTGCTCAATGATAAGTCAATGCTTCAGTCTTATTGCTTCAGCAACTGGATCCAGGTCTGAAACTATGTTTGTCAAAGATATCAGTGTCTCTCATTTAAATGGCTACCTGCTATGATGAAATATTATTTTTATTTCCGTATTCTAGTTATATGAACATGTATGAATATCCTGCCTAGTTCTTAGCAAATAAAACTTGACAAGATCATCCTATAGCTGGCAAGATCAGCTTTGGAGAAAATATTTTGCATGCATAATGTTGCTGGTATTTTCGTTTCTAAATAATGGAGAAGAAACATGACAAAAGCACCCTGCTTAAGACCTGAACAGTGATTGAGAACCTGTGCCCTCTCTAGATGTTGTTGACTCACTCCATCCCTAACCATTGGTCATGCTGGCCAATAAGAATTAAAGCCTCAATGACATCTGCATACACATTCAGCATAAGGTTGCTTCCTATATGGAAGTGCCAAATTTCATGTTAGGTTACTGATCCATTATAGTAGCACTATCTGCTCAAATCTCTTAGATTTCTTAGACAGAGAACTTTCCCATGCCCGAGATCCATTTAAGTCACTATACTGTAATTCCAAATAAAACTGGAGTCTTGATTTACCAGGTACCTTCTTTAAATTAGATCCTGTAGCTGTTGAGTGAGCCTGTAGATGAGAAATATCTAAGGTCTCCTTCTTCCTCTCTAAGCAGGCAAAGTAGCTCCCAAGACTAGATTTCATTATTAGTAGGAATGAGCATCTGGCCTATAAATATGGGGAGGTGGGGCAGGACAGCTGAGACAGAGTAGAAGAACCTAAGATAGGTTCCCTTTCCAATCCAGTTCAGTATCTTTATGGGGGGAAAAAACCCTCTCATAATTGCTCATTAAAATTAGCTTTATTTCTTTTCTTCTTTCACCTTTTTATCAGTACTAAATCAATTCCACTCTTGGTGAAGAAAACAGATTTATGTAGCTCTTTCTTTCTGTCATCATGTTTTGCTAATAATTTGTTCTATGCTATATAAAATTGTTTCCAGATTGCAGATCTTTTAGTCATCACCGTTGTCTACACAGCCAGTGTCCTAATACCTAAAAAGTCACTAGCCTGTACTTCTTCAGTCTCAGTAATAGAATTGGAAGACCTTTGGTCTTCTTCCAGTAAGTAATTTAACTTTCCCAGTTTTTATGCCCTGTATCTAGGCAACCATAGCACTCGTGTGAATGAATAAACCAAATAAATGTATCCCTATCACAAACAACCAATAAAGAAAAAAGGTATTTCTTTTTAGAAACATTTTGGTTCCTGATGCTTGCCTATGTTACTATGTGATTACTCATACTTTAATTTATAAGGTGTTATGGAATGTGTTAATATATTTATACTAATTGAGATTTACTGATGACAGCACTACTAAAAAAATTCTAGTTGGGATTTGACATTTCAATAGAAATGAAAGGCAGGTGCTGTTGAGATTTTAAAAATCACTTTCCATTCATGATGTGGAGCTTGTTGTTTTTCTAAGAGCATCCTATGTAATCACACCATGTATCTTCATTCTATTTGACTTCCATTCACAAGAGATCCCTGCTTGATTATTAAAGTAGCTTTCACATTGTATTTCATTTAGCAGGGGTCTTTGGAAATGATTTCCTTAAAAAGACAACAGGCTCTGCAAACTCCATTCTTTCTTTTGGCAATTTGCATTTAATCTCACTGTCAAGAACCAACACAGTTCCCTTTTGTATTGTATCATATTTTTTTAAAAAATTATAAATGCACTAAAATAATACTACTTAAGAAATATAATCTTCATTTAAGAAGAAAATCCATCCAAACTACTCATGCTTGGGTCTCACTAGATGCACAGAAGTCAGACAGGTAGAGATCAAATGCATTATCACAATTGGGATTTCCATTCAATCCACTTTTGATTGGTACTGTACAATGGTTATGTAGAGGCATATTTCAATTAAGCTGCACATTCTTTCTGTTGCTGGGGGATTGTTACTGTGGCCTGCTGGTAACCCTCCCTGTTGTGCCATTGTTTCAGGAGTGAAGCCATACATAGAAGTAAAGTTACACATATTAAATGAGTCTTTGATCAGCACTTCAACAATCCCGTACTTCCAAATGTGCATTATAATCAAATTGCAACCAGTCAGATTTTATTTCTCAAACATATATCAGAGAGAAACAATACAAACACAAAATAAACACAACCAGCTCAGGAAAAATTACTAGAGAATTTAGTAAAATTACCAATAATAAAATATCTCTCCCATTCCTTTTAACAAAACATGTTAATTCATTTGCATTTTACAAATAGGGGTCTATCATCAGTGCACTGAAAAACTGGCATAATAACATTATCTGTCATTGCAGACGATGGAAACAGCTGCTATGGCCAGCACAGACAAGCAGGGCTTAAGAAATGGCAACTGCAGTTCCTTTTCGAGAGACCTCCTCTCAATGTTTTAGGTGTATTCTGTTAAAGCTCATCTGCACCCCCATTCTAGCATAAACATGATGAGAATTGGATGAGGGCGAACAGTGTTTCCCAAGAGAAGTGCAAAAGATTTGAATACATGAATCAGCCCCTACACACAAGCAGTGTTATCTTTGAAAGAGAAGAAGTTACAGCAGAAACTTTACCAAAGAAGATTGTAATTTACCTTTTAAGTATACAAGATTACGCTAAACCTGAATGCAAATACTTCTGCTTACTAGCCTTTGGCAAATATTAGGTTGTACCTTGATTTCATGGGAGCTTGCTTTTTCTGGTTATTTTTGTATCTGTCAGCTTCCTTGCAGACTTTTGTAGTGTGGGAAATGGTGCTAAATTTCTTAGTGTGGTGGCAGCAAAGGAAGTCCCTTGTGAAGCCAGAGAGGTGAAGGAACATGAAAAAAACGTAATATATTTTCTAAGTGTCGTGACACAAAAACTGCAGTAATGTGTGCCTGAAATTTGCACCACCTTGGAAACAACTCTGACATCAATGGAGAGTTTATCACATATTAACTAATTTTAGGTTTTCAAAAAGGTTATGCAGACTGACATTCCGTTACAAGCAAATGAGCAGAAGTAAGCTCACAAACTCAGTGGTTTTTGCGGAGCCTAATTATCTATCTGATATGCAGTTCTTGATTCATAGGAGGCTAATCCGCCGGTGTTAAAAAGCTTTAAACCACGTAATTTTCCCACAGATCTTCTTTCCACATTTTAGGAGAAAAATCCAGATGTAGATGTAAAAATAACTGAGAGTGATACTGAAGGTGTGTGCTTCAAAGGGATAGAGGTATGTACACATGTTGCAGTGCCAGCCAAAAAGCTCAGTTGTCTCCTCCAAATATTGGTTTCTCACACTGTTAAGATGGAAAGATGAAGCTCAGGGAGAACAAATGACCATCCAGTGAGAAGCATTCTGTAAGTCTTGTTGATAAATCCTCCCCAGGAGGCCTTTCAGAGTAGGCTTTTATCACACCACCACTCTGCACCATTTAGTGAATTTTATGGGTGCTTTAGTTGATGACATTCTTCTCTCACAACCCTTCTTTGGTTTTGCTGTCTCTTCTGCCTGTTTGCATTCTATGGAAAATCCATTTTAAGAATACAGAACTGCTGCATACTACTTTCTAATTGCTAGTGTGTGGAGACTACTGCCTGGAATTGTCCAGGTAATCACTAACTGTCATTTGTAAATATAAATTAAATGGGAGATAAACCAGTAGTTAAATTCCAGAATGGCTCCATAAATAATTTCCAAAGAAGTACCTGTATTAGTCTGTCTAAATGTGTTGGCAAAATTAAAAAAGAAAAAAAAGAGGAGAGAGAAAAGGCAAAATATTGTGGCCCTTTGAGCTTTCATGGATCAATGTTCACTTCTTCAGACACTAGGGCTGAAATCCTATTGTACGCATACACAGTTGCTGTAAATTAAGAAATCTCCTAGACATTATAGGTTTCCCACTGAGTCATGTGATTCAGTATGCAGCAGATAAACGTCTACAGAGAGTTCTGGAAATTTGCTTCCAAAAGTTATAACATCCATGTAACTGTACAAGAGATTCCAGACATCTTTTCCCATCTGTTGACACATTTTCCATATGTTCCAGAATCCACAACAAAATTATAAAATATATTGTTCCTAGAGAGTCAGTATACTGAGTTGAAAGAAACCTAATGCTTATGCCTAAGTATATCTATTCTCACATTCCACTTAGATCAGTGGTTCATGTTGGCATGCAGCCAATGATTTTTGGTGACTGTTCCTATTATGATACGTTGTAGAAATGTGACTACTTTGAATCATTAATAGGCCATTGCATAACATGAGCTGGACCAAACCCTCTTTTACTTGTGAGCTGGGTTTCTCTCCAGACCTCAAGGT